TTATAAATAATTAAATTGGGAATATTACAAAAAAATTGCACATTCACTTTTCAAATGAAACCGCTTATTTTGAAACAGATACAGTATATATTTTGCATACTTTTTTTATTATTATTATTTTTGTTATTGGCAAGAAAATTACACACACTATTTACACACTCATTTTGTATATATTTTTTTTTTTGTTTTGTTTTGTTTTGTCATTGACAAAAAATTATACACAATATTTATACACCTATTTTACTCTTTTGGTGACTTAGAAAGTAAGTAAAGAACCCTTGATATATATTTTTCATATTAACTTTTCAAAAAATTAAAGGCTAACTTAAGAATGTGATGGGAAATCTATTTAATTTTTGAAAATGACATTTTGCAACATTCTAAAATGAAAACAGATGAAAGTGGTCCTTTTAGAGATATCATTTCAAACAAACATAGGAGTATTAAATATCATACATAAATTCGTGTACCGTACCAGATCTATATATATATATATATATAATTTGCTGGTATTATTGTTTTAAGGGTAAAGTGCATAAAACTCCCCTAAATTATACTCTCTCTCTAAAATCCCCCTTGAACTTTTATTTTTACAATTAACCCCCTGAACTATCTAAAATTTTGTTAAAATCGCCCACCAATAAATTTTCGATTGATTTTTGCGGCTAAACAGGCTCGTGGTATCACATGCCAGGTCTTTAAATTTATAATGACAAAGTTACCCTTATTACCATTATAAGCTATTAAATGTATAAAATCAAAATTCCCAAATTGATACAATTCCAGAAAGGGGGAAAAAAAAAAAAATCAAATTGAAACCACCACCAAATTCAACCCCAAATCGTGTCTATTGGAACCCAATATTCATTCTCTACCAAATCACCACCTCTTTTATATATCTTCACCGTTTGATTCTCTGCAAGCTACTCAACAATCACAAACCAAACCCTTAAGTTTCATTCACAAACCCTAATTTTTGTTCTATAGCTCAAATTTCTTTCATTTATGACGAAAAATGAAAGTTTTGTTGAACACTGGTTGTCAGAGGAAGTTGGGTTTCTGCAAATCGAGAAGCCGATAGGATTTCGACAGTTTGATGTGAGAGACGAAACAACCTAATAGCATCAACGTGGAAGTAGGCCAAGACGTTGAACAACAGACGAATATAAGATGAATCGGGGTATAATGCGGCAAAGGATTGTGTTGAGGAGTAGGTGGTCATTGTTCTCATTGTCGTTGATCTTCTGTGAACATTATCGGAGGAACGCATTGAGGTACTAATTGGTCATCTCCTCCTCCTCCTGCAGTGTATTTTATTCTCACACAAACACAATCACTGCTCACTGCCGTGTTTACTTGGCATCAATGGTGGAGTAATCGACGAACAAACCAATTAACGGCTTCACTCGCACGGCACTGCCGCACTGGTCGCGTTTGGTAAATGAGATGGGGAGAGGTGTTGCGTGGTAGAATTAGGTTTTGTTCTTTTTCTTTTCTTTTTTTCTTTTTCCCGGAAGGTGAGAAATTAGAATTAGGTTCAATTGGTGATAAGGTGATGTGTTATCCAATCCTTATTGGCCTTTAAGTTTTTTTTTTTTTACACCTCAACAACAAAAGTTAAATCCAAACAGGCCCTTCAACTAAAGGGTAAATTAGTAACTTTCTTTTTCCGGTGCCGGAGACCCCACTGTTGTCCTTAAATGCAACTTTATCATAGTTCAGGAGGGTATTTGTTAATTTAGGGAGATTTTTTGCAATTGACTAAAAACTCGCCCGCGCTTGGGGGGGGGGGGGGGGGGTTAATATTTAGGGGTGACAAATAGTTAGGCATGTCTTTTCTATCTAGAATTTCTGGTAAGAAAATGATTTGCAGTTATTCAGACTAGCCATACACAAATAAGGAGGTTCTGAATATTTATTTATATTGCGAGTAATGTTAGGAAGAGATGACAAGTAACACCTGCTTCATATATTTCAAGAGTAAAGTAAAAAAAAAATCTTTTGAACTATTTTCTTTTTGTAAATAATTTTTTTAATTAAAAATTATCTTCTCTAAATTATTAATTTGTTCCAATTAAAGATAAATTTATGGCAAAAAGATTATTTTATCCTTTCTTATTAAAATTATCATGTTTTATTAAATTATTTTTATTATATTTTCTCTTATCTAAATATTAATTATATTATTTACCTTAATTTTATTATTAGTATCAATTTATCATAAAAATGAAAAAATAAATATATTAGTAACTACTATTTTCTAAAATAATTAACTTATTATTAAAATTTTATTATTTATAATAAAACTTATTATACCGAGTTTAAAAAAATTTTACCGTAGAAAAAAATATCTATTGATGAAATTTTAATAAATTACTTAAATAAAAAAATCCCTTCTTTTTTATGTAATATATCATAAAGAATTAAGAACTTAATTAACTTGTTTTAAAATTTTCCACTTAAGATTTTATTTAAACAATTAATTAAAAATATTAAGGGTAAATTTATGCAAATTTAATGGAGAATATGTCATAAAATTAGTATTGAATTTTTTTCATAATTTATTTCAATAAGAAAAATAGATTAAGTGTAATTCAATAAGAAATGATATTATGGATATTTAATAAAATATAGTTTAGGTAATTGGGACATTTTGCAATAAAATGTAATAGTTCAGAATATTATGTATAAAATATAATTTAAGGGAGTTATTTATAAATTTAAACATGATTAAAAGAGGTTTTTTTTTTTTTTCTTAACCGTATTTTTAATTAATTGAAACACTTGTTAAATGATGCACTGATTTGCAATTGTGATAATAATTACATGGTTGGCAATAGTAGGATTATATATATATATCTATATATATATATATATATATATATATATATATATATTAGTGAGAGGACAATTGTATCAGTAAGATAACATTGAGTCCGTACCTGCACTTACTTTTTATTAATATAAAAGGCTGCATCAATTCAGTGGCTAAGGAGCTATGACTCTTTTACTTTTTAGTTATTTATTTATTTTGGCAACACCAAACAAAGAAAGACAAGGAACAGGGCTGGAGACTTCAGCATCAAGGGCCCAAACAAACCAATTGGGCCAGACTGGGCAATGGACATCATCCTTCTTGTAAATGGAAGCCCATTTACTAATTTTATGGGCTAAAGAGTTGAAAGTCCAAGAACTAAACAAGAGAAAAACCTTTGTGATCAGAGTAAGTGCCAGTATTACTAACGCTTTCACTTTCTTACTTTTTCTTTCTTCAAAAGTAAAAGTTTGTTTTTGATTTCTTAAACTGAAATAGAAAATGAAATTATGTTTAGTAATATTTCATATTCATTAAAATTTTGAAAGCAAAATAACAAAATCAAGTTTAAAAATTATGATTCTGCTTTTATTTTTTTACCATTACTGTAGTTCTATCATCTACCATTCTAATCCCACCATCTCCCAGTTCAATTTCGCATCCACCATCCTCCATTGCTACCTAACTACAAACTGCAAAAAACCACCACCACCTCCCATCATAGCTTTCAAACATCAATAATGTCACCACAAACCTCTTTCCAACACAAAATTAAATTCTCTTCTAGAACCAAGATGTTCAGCACCGTCCAAAACCCCCTCTTCCTATTACAATTGCTCCAATCACAGTATCAAAAAAAAAAACCCTAAAACAGGCCGTTTCTGCAACAACGATGACAATCTTCCACTGCACCGTCCTTCGACCCCACAGACTGACAGACAGACGACATCAAGGTGAACGCTCTCTCTCTACCCTCTTCAAAAGTTAATGAAGCTTTTAGGTAAAATTTCTGTTCAAGTGGGCCTCTTCCATATGCCCGATCAGATTATGCTGCTAAGGATCGTACCTGTGAGAAGGGCAAAAGTACCAGAAGAATGATAAGGGCACACATTTTGAACATTAACAAGATCCTTACAAAAACTCTTCGATCCCGCCGCCATGCAGTCTTAGATCGGCAATTAAACCAGAAATCTCAACCCATTATCGTCGTGATTCTCCTTGTCGTCGTCGGAACCTGTCATCGTCGTATTCGTTGTTGTGTGCCTAACTCTTTGATTTTGTGCTAAGGATTCAAGGTAAGAAAACAGAGGGAGGAAGAAAGGGGATTTTGTCCTTGAGGATGAGAGAGAGAAAAAAAAAATTCAGATTTGAGGAAAGCATAACTTACCTAATTCCATCATCACCAATATGATAGTCGCCGATATGAATTGTGGGTTGTGTGGTTATTGTTATAAACCACAGAATATAGCATTTTTTAAATTCTGCTACAGTAGTGGAAGTAATTCCTTCGCTACAGTGAAGAAAACAAAAAAGTGAAAAATCCGTGCTTTCTTTTTCTTTCCTAAAATGTGAAAATACTTTCTGAAAGTAAAAAAGCAGAAATATGTTAATAAACATAATTTTCACTTTTACTTTCTATTTTTAGGAATTGATAATAAAAATCAGAAAGTAAAAGTGTTACTAAACAGGCCCTAAGTCTTTGTATATATATATTGAAAATTTTATTTAATTATCGACTTTTATAGAGTTTTATTTTTTTTAATGAAATGTTGAATTAACAATTAACGAGATAAAAATATATAGAGTAATATAAAGTAAAAATATATATAGGGCATAGTTATCTAATTTAAGTCCCTCCTAAAATAAAAGTTTGTTAACGTGGAGAGTCCAAGGATTAAAGAGGAAATGGAAATGAATGCATGGGTCAGTTGGCAATGAATGAAAGTGTGACACGTAGGCATATTTTTGGTGGTACTGAAAGTGTTGAAAGTAAAGTATATAGGACAACCCATAATGGTAAAAATACAGCTCAATCTCATTTAATTAAACCCACAACACCAATGTACGTAGTAACAGAGAGTTAAGTGAGGACCAACCTAACCCTTTTATATCTCCATTAAAACCTCACCAACCCTTTACAGCAAACCAGCTCTCACTCTATAAATCAATCCCACTCCTCAATATCTATATGTTGCGTGCCGCTTTCATACTATTATTATTATTATTGAAATATACAAGATATATATCTAAAGCGCGCAATTAATTAAAATGGTGAGAGCCCAATCTCAATCTCATGTTGTGACGGTGTTGTTGATCACGGTGGCGGTGGTGGTGGTGCGTGGTGGTGCTACGATCAACGAGAAGTGCGAGGAGGACTTTCCGAAGGTGACATCGTGCCTGACATACGCGACAGGGGGGTCGGAGACGCCGTCCAAGGAGTGCTGCGGTGCGGTGAAGGATATCAAAGATAGTGACCCGGTGTGCTTGTGTTATGTCATACAGCAGACACACAATGGTAGTGCGCAAGCCAAGAGCTTGGGGATACAAGAGCCCAGGTTGCTTCAGCTCCCTTCTGCTTGCAAGTTGGCCAATGCCAGCATCAGTGATTGCCCAAGTAACATTTTTCTCCCCTCTCTCTCTATACATATATATATATATATATCTAAATCGCGTATCTATATTGCATACCATATCAAAAATGATAAAAGCTCTTGAACTATAAAAATCTGTCAAAGAATTAGCCTACTTGGTTTGTACTTGTGAAAACAGGCTTTCTATTCTCAAAAACTGAATAAAAATCTGTACTTGATTCGATTTTCAGAAAATTGTTTCATGAAAATTCAGTTATAAAAATGTCTATTTCAAGATAACTATAAAAAATTATTATCTGAGAACATTTTTTTATAAAAATGTCTATTTCAAAAGAGCTATAAAAAATTATTATCTGAGAATATTTTTTTAATTTTTTAATTCTTGAAAATTATTTTCAGATTCACAAGCAGGTCATTATTTTTCTATTTTTGTGGATGAGCAAGTCTGACACAAAATGCATATGGGCAACATTTGCAATTAATGAACTCTCCGTTAAATTAACACGTTTTAAGTTGTAAAATTGAGTACAAACTATATCATTATTTTGCTCATGCTTAAAAAGAGTAGTGTTATAAAAATAAAATATAAATATAAAAATTATACAGTATGAAATTAACATAACATGTCAAGAAAAGGTTAGAATAAGGGAGTATCAAACAACGTTTATCTTATTTTACCTACTTTAGAGTTTAGACCGTTGAGTAATTTTAGATCTAGTCTTTTCCCACTCACTTTATTTCCCCTTTAATTGGAGGACATTCAGATTTATATAACATTGGCTCTAATTAAACATAAGGTTCTGTCCTATAACTATGTTTTGTTACAAATTTATGATTTTGCCGGGACTCGAACCCGAAACTCCCTTATGATTTCTTCATTCTAATTCGTGTTTTGTTGGCAACAGCGGATTTGATTTTATGATTTTTCATTCTAATTTATATAAACTATTTTCGAAATCTAAGCTAAAATCTAAAATAATAAAAACCAAAATTATAATATAAATATTTTTCTGCTCCCGAAATAGGGATGGCAACGGGGAGGAGTGGGGATGGGGATTCCATTCCACATCCCCATCCCCATTTTTCATTCCCTATCCCCGCCCCCATTTCAGTTTAAAATTTTGCCAGAATCCCCGCCACCCACCCCCACCCCCACCCCCACCCCCGCGCCCGCCCCCGACACCTTATCCCCTCCTCACCCCTGCCCCCGGCCTCATAATTTTTTTATTAAAAAAAAAAAACACATTTTTTCTTATTTTCATATATATAATAAATCTAATTTAGTAATAAATTATTATATATAAGGATATATTAGTAACTTCACACTTAATCGGGGCGGGGCGGGGCGGGGAGGGGTACCCCATCCCCGGTCCCGGCGGGAATTCATAATTTGCCCCCATTCCCATTCCCGTTTAGCTAAAAGGATTCCCATCCCTGTTTAGCTAAAAGGATTCCCATCCCTGTTATAAACGGGGCGAGTTCTGGGAATAGAGAATTTGTCATCCCTATCCCAGAACTCCCTTTCGAGAGTTAAATATTGTTATGGTTATTCATTCTAATTTATATAAACTATTTACAAAATCTAAGTCAAAATTTAAAATAATAATATAAATATTTTTCTGCTGCCGTACTCCTTATCAAAGCTGAATAACCACGCTTTGTTAGGTTACACCAGAGTTGATATAAAAGCTTTTCATTCTAATTTATATAAACTATTGCTAAATCTTCTGAGAGCACACAGAATGTTCATTCTGTCGTCTTTAAAACCATGAACTTCTTTTTCGTTTACTTTTTCTCTTTCTTTCTCCTCTTTTTTTTTTTTTTTTTTTTTGGGTGTAGAAATCTAAAAATAAAAATTAAAAAAAAAACCCTACGTTTCAAAGGAACCTACAAATTGGTGTTAAGTAAAAACATTAATAGAGCCATTAATGTAACTGTACGAACTCTCCTATATGTCCACCCATCCCCGGAATGGGCTGTTTTTTACATTTATTAGACTGCTGGATGCGACCACTACCCATGCTGTAGCCCACTGTCAACTTTGAATTTTCTATTCCTTGCTGCCAATCTTCTCCACTCCCAAACACTATACAAATTAAAATATGAAATCTGCTAATTTGTATGATTTGAATGCTGGTGCCCTGTTAGATACAATATTTACTCGAAGGTGTTTGTTTGGATATAAAATATTTATAAAAAATAAATAAATTTATCTATTAATTTTCGATAAGTTATTTTACATTTCTTCTCGATAAACTCATTCCAACATCGACCTTTGCCAAACACTAAAAAATAAATAAATAAATAAATATATATATATATATATATATATATATGTATGTATGTATTTTACTTGAAAAAAGAAAAAAATATTTTACGGGTGTAATTATTTTCTTGTGCTTAATGATAATTGGTGCTAATGAGTTATTTTGTGTTTTTCGAATTGAAATGGACAGAGCTGCTAAAAATACCGCCAAACTCTCCTGATTATGCCATCTTCGCAAACTCATCAGCCTCGCCGGTTCCGGCTAAGACAACAGGGACACGGTCGGCGTCAGAAACTGCTGGCTCCAATGGAACATTTAAGCATCAGCCAAAATTTTCAGGAGCTATGGCAGTTGCTATGGCCATCTTCTTCCATGCATTCCCAGTTGGGTTTGTGCCTATGTTTTACACAAGAAGGTGAAGCTGGTTCACTGAACAGGCCTAGTAAAGCGCTTTTCATAATTTCATCTTCATATGTTATCATGACTTTTATGAGTTCGCCACTATTTTGTTAGCACCTGTGCTTTTATTTGGAGGTGTGTAATATATGCAATGTTTTTACTAGCAATCTAATTTTAATTTCAGTGCACAAATGTCCAAATATTTATTACTAGAAGGCTAGAAGCTATAGATTTCAAGTGTTTTTATAAAGGGTTTTTTTCACTCTTATCCTGGGGACCCTATTCGATTGTATTTGATAAGGGCTTCAACTGATAGAACCCTGTTGAATAAAGTTTCCAAACATGACGTGCATTTCAGTATGCAAGCAACTACTTTGTGTAAAATAATGTCGAAAAATAAATTTGATATCTAAATTCTGAAACAGCATAAAGATAATTAGCTGCCTTGGTATGTACCTGGGAAGAAATTAGAAATGCTAACAAATGAAACTGGAGAATTACATTTTCGAATCGAAACTAGCCTCCTTTAAGGGGAAAACCTAGCCCCTCTATTAGGGAAAACAACACGATAGCAAGTACCATGGAACCTTTTCAATGCCTTAAGTTGGACAACATTGACATATCAAGATAAAATTGTTTTATAGATGTAGATGCAGACAAGGATTTGTCAGAATTTGCAAATGGTGAAGACTTTCTGTTGCAGGGTTGCTATACTGATCGAGCAAGACGTAGTTCGCCACTCCTTCGAGGGGCTGAAAGTGTAACCATGAGACGCGGGATCAATAACAAGATCTCCAGAAACTCCGAAGACCAATTGACAGCTTAAATAGTTGGACTTCCAGCTTCATTGGCAATTTAAAAACATTGTAAAAGAATGGAACCATCGGACTTGACTTCAGGCCTTATCAATCTGGGAATAGCTGAATGGATATCAGTAGTCAGTTTAATGGATTGGAGTAAAAACTAGTCGGACATGGTGCTCTGAATAATTCGGTTTCTTGGAAGTGATTGCTGCCTTTACTGTTTGCAGTGAAGGTATGCATGCGGGAGTAAATTGACTGTTCTTCAGTCTGCCAGTACTCTGATGAAGCAAGTGGCAAGCCTTGATGCACTGCATGCATCACAGGCTGAGGCATGTTGGTATGATCTACATGCATGTTGTTAACAAATGCAATGGATTCCGGCTGCAAACCTGAAGAATTAGTTGACAGAAGAGAGAGAGCACAACGAAGATTCGGTGCTACATCCAGGTTGGAATATAACATAGATTCCTTTAAACCTGCAAAATTTTTTACCCGACAAGTTAGGTACATCACTTATGCTGTGTTTCACTTTACACGAGGGAGATGAATACTACTACAAAGATTACAAGATCTAGCACAATCATAGCATATAGTCTGCTAAGAGTAATTTAAGAATTTAGGTTGGGATTCGAATTTATGAAAAATTAATAGAATTGTGGTTGAACGTGACAATCACATTACCTTTGGGTACACCAATTCTCATGAAATACAAGGTATTATTAGGTAAGACACACGGCCAACACTCACACGCCATTATTGCCTCGCTGGGACTTGAACCCATAAAAGGAGGAGAGTACCACTAGAATTAACTGCTTGATGATTAAAACTAAATGCTCGTCTTCCGACTTCCACCTTCGAAGGTAGGGTTTGCCAATTCTCACACCTTTAAATTTCATTAAAATTGTTATTTAAATATAAATAACAATTTTAATGATATAAATTGTTTGGTAATTATTGTGATTATGAGCATTATGGTCAAAGCATTTTTTACTAGTTTTTAGAACTTCAAATGAAGAGAAATAAGCACACATGATATTATTTGGTACACTAAAGGTTCACTTTGACTACAAAATTGGGGGCTTCAGTTACTTTGAGAATGTTGGCTGCATATATAAACTTCAAAAATTAATCCACCACAAGGTGAAATGTTCTAAAAGAAGGAATAAGGACTCAAAGAAATTTTATAAGGCCGCCTCTTGGAAGTCTCCTCCATCATTGAACATGAACTACACAACCCGAGTAAAGTGAGGCAAAAGCGAAAATGCAAGGCAGTCATATTTTCATAATCATGCAGATAAGACAGATCATATTACCACAAAAATGCATTCATAGTTTTATCATTCAATGCAAATCCAAGCAGCATCAGTCTCTTTTTATGAAGATTCTGACTTTAAGCATTTGCAACACCCTGAAATTAAAATTCTCAACAAGAGAACAAACTCTTATTCGGGGTGAGCAACATGAATTTGGCCCACCATTTTCAACCAGTTTGGGTGTTCCTAATTATTTCAAGAATATTCTGTGGTCTTTGAGAATGTGTAACTTCCACTTTCAAATTTTCGCAAGTGCCTGCATACGTCTCTCTTAGACTTTGCCTAAACCAAGTAAGCAACTTTATGGCATCTCTCGTCTTTAGAAATATCTCAAAACCCACCAGAATCTTCATACATGTTATCTCACAACAAATAAACCACTTGTCCCTTTTCCTTGTAAACTTCTCATTTGGCTTAAAGGGTTGCTTATCTGTCAGATCAGCTTAACATGAAAGTAAAGAAATTTTTTAATATGAACCAGGCAATCAATGTTGTAATCAACATGCAAAGTTTCATCCTAAACTAGCAGAGTGCAAGCCACTTCCACAATAAATTAGAATCTCACTCAAATATTGTATATTGAAAGGGAAACCCTTTGAGAACTAAAATTTCAAAAACACCATCTCTGAGCAGTGAGAAATTTCTTAGTTTGTCAAAATTTCTCAATCTGATATACCAAGACACACCATTCTTCATGATGCATCCCATGTTAGAATTTCTGTATCGTCTAGTCTTGGAAATTTTACAATTTTAAGTTAGTTAAAGATACTTTATGACATATATTATAATAAAGTGAATATTACGACACTATATTATCTCAGCTCAAAGCTCCTATAAATGCGTCATTCAATAATTTGGGAATGCCGCCCCCCGCTTTTTACTCCTCCTCCAGTTTTCATCTCCAAGATTTGTTTAACCCAAGTCAACTTGAACCCAAACTTAAAACATTTAAATATATATCTTATCAACATACTCATAAATTTTGAAGAATGGATTTACTAATACTATTTGTGTTTTTTCAGTCATCTGCTGGCTCCCAAGAAGTTTGTAGCGAAGGTCATCAATTCATCATCTAACTTATAACTATGAAATGTTGAAAAGGGTAGACTTGACATAAACCCAACTGCTGGCATTATTTTGCACAAAATAACTACTCGAAGGCTTACCAAACCACTTTCTCACTATTGATAGCCTGCAATTTTACCATTACATCACGTCGTAAAACGGTTACAACTTGCAAGTGACACTGCTATAAGATGGTGAGCTAGAATGAACATATTTTTCTTGCAGGCACCATTTGCACTAGTTATGAAGTTTATTACTGGAGGTCATTTGAAATTGAGATGCCATATCACAGCTTTTTAAGCAAGTAACTACCTTAAGGTCCTTAAGTATCATATTACAAGAATGCTTGATTTGTAAATCATCAGATAATGCACAAAATATCAAAACAAAAACAAATACTTAGTAGCATACTAAAATGACCAAGAAATCCAGCCAAAATATTTATACTAATAAGAAGAATTGGCCCAAGGTTAAGAGTTGAAAAACAATACCATATAATGATGAAGACAGAATAGTTGAATCAAACGGGATTGTCTCCTGATGTGGCTTGCGGCGCCGTGCATTGTGATTAGAAAGCCGTCTACGACAGCTTCGCTTCATTTCGTCAAATTCTGACAAACTGTGGAACCTTCAACATCACAAACACACCATTGGCATGTCAAAATCATTCATCATGGTCTAGAAGGATCTGAGGCAGATTTTAAAGACAAGATATACAGTAGTATATGATAACATCAAGACATGCCAAAAAATATCAGTGTGAGGACAACCATGAGGAATCAGCAATTTAATTTACAGAAGAGATCCTAACTGTATTTAAATAATATCCCCAACTACAAGGGTATAACCTTAACTCTCATAAGAAGCTTACCTGCTACACTGTTGGCAAAACCGGCGTTCTAGACCACGTACAATAACCTTTGGGCATTTGGAATGACTTTCACAAACCCTATGCTTCCGGTGATAATCTTTCGCAGATGAGAGATCAAGGTTGCAGCCTTCTACTTGGCATCGTGGGGGAGGTGTAATTTGACGAGATAATTTGATTTTCTTTGCTGTAGTGGCAGATGATACAGGAATCACAGAAACAGAAGAGGTCTTTGTGCTACCAGCACAGTAATTTTCAAAGTAAGTCCGCTTACCAAGTTTCAGACTGATCAATGATTCACCAGAGCCAACTGAAACCTCCAGTGGAAGTGAAGTTCCAGTTAGCTCAGCTCTGGAAAATTCCTTCTTGTAAAAATCTCCAGGTACACCATCAAAATCCTCAAAAGTGAAATTGGATATTTTCATCCCCTCCTTTGTGGAGGAATCTGTTGAAGCTGATATTGAGCTCTTTTCTGAAGAACCAAATCCCAAATTAGAGCCAGAACCGCCACTACCGCCACCGCTTCCAGATAAATCAAAAGACACCCTATCGAATACTCCCTCTTCTTGCAGCTTTTTAGGCAGATTGAACATCACTAAGTTATCCCAGCCCCATTTCGGATTCAGCTCCATCACTATGAAAGAATTCATGAAATTATTTCATTCAATCTTCTCTACCGGTGTAGACATGAATATGACTTAAAATTGCTCATATGGAATGAAATCAGAGCATGCAAAATTCACAGGAAAAACTGGAAAAACTAGCAAAATTGATCAGATAAAAGGCCTACACAAATACATGTAAAGAATTAAGTAACACTGACAACAAGTGATACCTACCTTTAAGATTCACACCACAAAAGGGCTAGAAATCACTGAATTTCTTTCAATGCAGTACAGAGACAGAGAGGCATAGAGTTAAACAATCAAAGGCAAAGAACAATCAAATTTTCAACTCATTAGCTTCTAAAGTTGAACATACAAGTATAGATTTTATACAAACATGGAACTGAAATGCAAAGCCTGTGTGTTTTACAATCGCTTTTTGGTCATACCATTCATGTCAATCAAAGCTTAGCAGGAGCAAAGAAAATGGAAAATGTTCCCAAAGTTCCTGCAACAATTATGGTGAATTATGTACTCTCTATCAATGTCCTCTTAAAGCACAAATTCCTAAAAAATAAAAATAAAAAAGTTACTGTTATTATTCACCCATATGAAATCAACCAACCTTGACTCTACAGAACAGCTATACAATATGCACTCTCTCTCTCTCTACAATTATTTTCAAGAAAGAATGGAAATGTCTTTCACCTTTTACTGCCAAGGAAGTGCAAACAACAAAGAGTGCGGTCGTTTTAGATCCATCAAATTGACCAAATAATGCATCTTCAATCTAAACCACGTGTATCTTAAGCCCTAGTCAATCATAAAATGAACAAGTCACCTTTCTCTGCTCTCTGTATCCTCCAAAAATCGCCGTCCACCAAATCAAAAAAGAATTAGTCAATCAACAAATAGCATTAATAACTTCAAAGAATCGAAAATCAAAATTTTCATTGAATTATTATCAATTGTTTTTCTCGTGTTTCAACTACCGTTGATGTACTAAGCATTTATCACGGTAACCTCATTTTCCAGCTTTTGATGTGAACTGTGTGAAAGAAAATATCGCAAGGAAAGCCAATTCTTATGGTCCCCCCTACTGAAGGGTGTTTCTGCGTTTGTCTCGAAGAAAGAGAAACCAAAAAAATCTTCACCAGAAAATCGATAACACGACATCGTTTCAAACACCACTTTCCCGAGAAAATAGTGGTACTATCGTAGATTTTTTTTTTTTTTGTTTTTTTCCGAAGTCGAAATTCACATTTTGGAAGAACTGAAATTTTTTCGCAGTAACTTGGAAAACAAACAGAAGTTTCAACAACTGTAGTAACAACTTGTTTGCTATGCTAGAAAATTTTCCATAAACACAAATAACCTCAAAGTATTCTTGCTAATTTTCCTTTTCTCGCTACTTTGCAGGAAAATGAAGAGATTTTTTTTAACAATCTCCTGAAAATACGATTAAATATACTACTGTACGTATGGTATAGAAGTCTTACCGATAACAAAGAGTCTAGCTTTTCCGGAATTTTTTTTTGAAATTCTCTGTTTTTGTCTGAAAGTGTGAGAAAATTCAATTGAGTGGAAAGGGAGTGAAGTGGGGCAGGGAGGCGATGGAGAGGGGTCATCATGTGCAGATTCTCTGTACAATAATGCCAAATGGTCTAGTGGGAAGTAGAGATTCTCAGACTTCTGTTTTTTTGTTTTTTGTTTTATTTATTTATTTTTATTTTTAGATGTGAAGTTATTTTTATTATTATATTTTATGATTCAAATAATTTATTCATGAAAAACACTAGATTTGTCAAGAGTGGAGAATCTACTTACATCTCATCTCTCTGACTCTGTTAACGACTCTCAACAAGTGTAGCACGTTTCTTCATTCATTCCACATGAATTTAGGATTAGAAAGAATTTTTTGCATGTGACAATGTTACGTCGGACCACAAATAGAATCACTTCTTATCAGAATATATTTAATTTTATAATTACTTAATTTTTAAAAATTACTTACTAAATTAAGTTAGTTACAAACAAAATTAATGAAAAATGAGATGTTTATATGGATGGAAAAAAGAAATGGAGGGGGTGACATTTTTATTTTTTATTTTTGTTAGAAGAAGAGATGGAAGAAGATACATACAGTTAAGTATTAAATTAGGATTTGAGTATATCTCCATATTTTTGTCCAAATTGAAGATTAACTTTTTTTCCTCTCTCCCTCGTATAACCTGGAGATGCTATTCAGTCCATCTGAAAGCTTAGACTAATTTGGTTTCGTATCTCATAGTTTTAGAATTTTAATGTCCTTTGAATTAAATCTGAATCTGATCATTAGAATATCCAAGTTTGAGCATGCAATTTGGTAATAATAAAACAAAGATGTGAAATCTTTAGAATAAAATATTAAGTTTGTTTTTTTTCTAGTTTAAAATATTAAGATTAATTAGTTGATTTTAATGCAAGTTGGGATTGAGGATAGTGGCAAGTTGGCGTAGGTGGGTGGACAAATACAACTTATGGTGGGTCATTATTTACTTTGGACAGATTTATGATTGAAAAAAACGAAAAATATTAAAATAATATAGTAGTTATTTGCTAAACAACTTGTTAATATAAAACACATTAATCTGTTAACTTTGTGTGGATTAAGGTTGGCACCTCGTATAATTCTGTTATTTAATTGAGACTAGAGAACTCACGCTTATGATAAAACTATTAATAAAAAAGTGGCCACATTAGTTGGGCAAATGTGATTTGATGCTTTTTGTTAAGATCGTACGTATTTTAGTAATGATTATCCATGTTTACGGCTTTATTCATACAAGAATTGCAATTACCGATAATAACGGGTTATATGTTTCGCGATTCAACTCAAAAAAATTTAAGTTATTTGGTGTGTCCGATACACGGTGCATTAGGCTAATCAAAGTTATACATACAAAGTTAAACGTACACAAATGTACGATACGCACTGAATATGTATTCCGTGTAACCAAATTGTTCATTAAAATTTGCTTGGAGGTTAATGCTTGTGGAGACATTTTTTAATATTCTCAAAATATGACTTGTTTAGAGCATCTCCAATATTAAAACCTATTTTCGCATGTCAAATTTATATTTTGACAAGTGTTATAGTGTCAAAATGCTACATTTTAACAAATCTGCTCCAATGATACATTTTACGCAAAATGCTATTTTTTAACACAATCACTATTTTTTTTCAACTACCATTCCTACCATTCATATTTGCACCAGTAATATTAATATTAGACACATTCCAAGAAAAATTTTAGACATTAGAAGGAAACTAAAATTAAACCTAATTAAAAAGATTACAAATCTAAAATATCTGGTCAAAAAGGACAAAAATAAAAAATTATAATAAAAAAAAAAGTTATAATTTTTTTACCACTATTTGTGAATTAATTTTTTTATATAATTTTTTTTTCGAAAATTTATATATATTATATATAATATATAATATACAGCGCACAATAACTTAAAATAAATCTTAAAATAAATTGACTGAAATTAACTGATATTAATGATAGATAATTACAACAGAATATAATGAAAATAACTTATAAACTGATAAATTACTGGTAGGTGGTTGTATACAGCATACTGGAGATGTAATACAACGAAGATAGAAAAATGAATATTACAAATGAAGACTAATAGTATGAAAACTGAAGCCTGAGTTCCCTCTGAATGAATATAGTTGGGTTCCTGCACTGTTGGAGGACTGTTGGAGACATCTTTTTGGAATCTGTAGCGCAACTTTTGGCTTTGAAAGATACTTGTGACTTTTCTAACTGAGGTTTACTATAGATGTTACTGTTCCTATCCTTTTGCACTGACAGCGACGACACTGTAGATGAATAGTGTTTTGTCAGGTGACTGTAGAAATAGTGATCTGCCGACAATACTATAGCAAATAGTAATGTTGACTTGGTACTGTAGCAAATAGTAACTCTGACCAAATAGTGATTTTGACTTTTTTCTGGCCTAGAATTCAAATGGATTCTGGGCATCTTGAAGATCATAATAAGGATCTTGTGGGTGAGTTGACTCAGCAGCAGAAGAAACATCATCTGCGTCTTCTTCATCTTGGGATAGTTCTTGGATGCGATCAGTCAATGTGGCTGCCATCCTTTTGAGTTCCTCAATTTCTGACTTGGGAGTATGCTTCCGAGACTTGGTAGATGTAATAGTGTTTGTAGGAGAAGACTGTTTTTGTTGAATGTCTTGTTTTGGTGGTGGAGTGACTTGTCTTGAGGTTTACTTTGGGTAATCATCTTCAACATACCCAATAATTCTGTCAATTTTGAAAATGTCCCACCATTTAACATAGTGGCGACGGATGAACATGTTATCCTGGATATCGTATTGCCATTTGAATATCCATGGGACCTTATACTTGCAGCAAAATAACAAGAGGACTGGGAATTGTGAACTGTTTTTGTTAACTTTATGAACTGTGTGGAAGTATTTGACTTGATCTGCAAGGGAAAGTGGCAAGATTTCTGGAATGGCGCCATGATGAGACCACTAATGCAAAAACCAGGTAGGGAGTTGACTTTTGAAATGACTATCAAAATTGAGAAACTAGGAATGAGTATATGACTCATTTTGGTATAGGAATATGGAGGATTAGGCTGATACATAATCGTAATATGTAAACTGAATAGTATGATTAGGTAGTGGCTGGGGTAAGTAGGGATGACTACCCCATTCTTCCATGGAGATAATCCGTCGGATATATAGCGAGTGGTAAATGACTTTGGAAGAATCATTGCGATCATAACTTGTCTTAATGGTGATGGACTCTGTATGGTACAGAATATCTCTGTAAAACCCAAGAGATTTATGAGGATGATTTGAGGCATAGTGAAGGTTACTTGGAAAATAAAAGCGAGCTAATTCTATAGGATCCTTAATGTGACTAAGGTGTGGCTCAATGTGGAATAGAACAACAGGTGCTTTTTCATAATATGGACTTGATGGCTTTCTTATAGTTGATTTTTGGACTTGGGATTGGGTTTGAACTTGTATTTGGACTTGGAAGGGGTCTGGTGCTAGATTGACCAGAGTTGACTTAAAGGTTGATTGGGAGGCGAGTGGTTGGAATCGATTGACCACTACTAAGGCAGAAGAGGATTGTGACTGTGATCGGGTAATTGAAGCTTTGCCTGAGTAAATATCAAAGGGTTTAACAGGTTGAGGCCTTTGGGGAAGCTGTCGGTCTGCCATCAGATTTCTGCAAGAATTCTCTGGTGAGAAAATCTGGAATTGAATTGTTACTGCCTTTACTATATTCTATATCAAAATCAAATATATTTAATATGGCTTGCCACCAGGCAAAAATCTGTTTAGAAGCAATATTTTCAACATCTTTTTCTAAAATATATTTTGCACTTTGACAATCAACTCGAACTAAAAACTTTTGATTTAAAATATCATCTTGAAATTTACTAATACATAAAATAATAGATAAAATTTCTTTTTTAATAGTACTGTAATTACTTTGTGTTTTTGTCCAAACATCAAAATGGAACCGAACCAATTGTTCAGGTGCATTTGGACTGACCTGCTGTTTGAGGATGCCACCATAAC